CCAAACACTATTAAAGTGGATCGTGAGTAAAAATAATTAGAGGTAAGTTTGGAAGTCACTTCTAAGCCTGCCTGCTTTACTGACAAACAGTGGCTAATATGAAGCAGATGCTGACATGGGCGATTTGTAAGCAGGAAGAGGGAAAACATGCAGGAAGAATTGCAGTTCTAATCCAGTGACAAACAGCTGAGGGGGGAAAACACAGGACTACAGCTTTGACCTAGTTCCCAACTTATTGTTGAGGATGTATTGCCCAGCAGTCAAAAGTGAAACATTTAAAAAGAATTAAAAGTGAGTTGCTTTGAGAAAGTTTGCAGATAAAATGTCAGAGAGATGTGTAATGATTTAATAATGTAATACATTTAATGAAAGAAAAAGAAAAGCATCTGAAGGTTCAAGCATCATAACCAAAACTACACAATACAAGGCTGAACCTCTCGGGGATATTAAAGCCAACCTCACTGGGGAAGTTACCATAGAGACACGTTAAAGTCTCTGCGGGTACATTATTAGTTTTTATTTAGAGTCGGGTAAAGCGGTTTGGAAATGCTGCAATTAGACGTTTAATTTGAAGACGTGAGCGCAGCAGCAGCAGCAGCAGCTCTCCTGTGCAATTTAATTAAGTTTTTGTGTGTGTGTGCCGAGCAAAGCAGGCTACACTCTCGCATTCGGAGCAAGATTAAAAGTCTACCAGATATTTTGGTTTGTAGAGGGAGTGAGATCAGTCGAAGTTGTAAACAGAGCATTTCTCTTCTCTCTCTGTGTGTGTATGTGTGTTTGAGACGGCTGCGATAAGAGAATCGGAGAATCAGAGTCTACCTGGGATGTGTCCAGGAAAACGCTCTTTCTGAACTTCCCCCGCCGTATCTCCATTTCAAGGGCAGAGCCGCGAGCAACGGTGGCTCTCGCTGTTTGATTTCGGCAAAACATCGTTTCTGCTTTCTGGCAACTTCAGTCAGGGCAAGCCCCGTGTGGAGCGTTTTAGTTCAACTTGAATGGAGCGCAAAGCGTAAGAAGCCGCTTCGAAAACTGCCGAACAACCAAAGCGCACAAGAACCAGGTTGGCATAAAAAACAAAAAAGCCCACAAAAATTTAAGCAACCACCCCAAAACACCGGCGCTCCTTCTGATGTGAGAGGCTGAAGCAGGTCTTCTGGCAGGAAAAGAGCGATTGAAGGGCCTTCCTTGTCAGCAGTTTCCCAGTTTTCACAGCACTGTCCCGAGTGCGTCCAGCAGTGACACAGTGACACCCCATGTGGTACAGCTGACTGAGACCTAACTTTGCCCTGCTCTGCATCCAGAGACCTCTACTGGTGATGAATGGCAGAGACTCACTATTGCACTTCGAAAACCCTGTTGCAGGCCCACTTTTTTTCTTTTTCCTTTCTTTTCTCTTTTTCACTGAAGCGATTACTTGGAAACTCTTTCACAACACAAACTATTTAAGCATTAAGGTGTAGTATGCACCATGAAATAAATTACATATAAGCAAATAAATAAATAAGAAGGGAAAAAAGTCCAATTAGCCTTTTTTTGAGAGCCTTGTCTGCTTTTCCAGTGTTTCCTAGGCATTATTGTCAAAGTGTAACACATTGCTATTCTTAATCCCATTTCCATATATATTTTAATAAGCGAAAGTTTCTCAGTTGTATTAATTGCTCGTGTTCACATCACTGGGATGACAATGAAAATCGGTTTTATCGGCAGCTTTAGCTGCCAGCTGAAGGCTTTCGTAGCCACTCATAAAAGGAGGCTATAAGGATCTTTTTAAACATAATGTTTATAACAGTCATTATGTGCTCCTCTGGAATTCTCTTTTCCCTAATATCAATAATGTAGCCACTTTACGGGGCTGTAAAGATAGGGGTATGGACTTTACTTTCATGGTAAGACGTTTTATTTATGAGCATCTGCAACAGAGCATGACGACCCAGCAAGAACGTGAATCAGAATTTGTGACTGTGCTGGAGCTTCTGGGTCAGAAGGTAATCGAGGCTCTTTCTCGTTGACACCGAGGTCACGTCCACGAAAAGAGACAGAGGCCTTCATCCAGTTCAAAAGCATAAGAAAATAAGAAAATAAATCAGATACGCATCCCTTGAAGTTACTGTATGAACCGGTTGCCTTTGTTGCAGGTCATCAGCACAAATGTCTGATACTTTGCACGTCTTGTCTGAATGCTTCAAATTCAAAAAACCCTTTTCTAGATCTGCTTTCTTTGATAAATTGAGCAATTCACTTGTGATATTTCAACTATTCAAGGCAAAAGAGAAGTCTGGGCTTTGTCAGTTATCCATCCATTTACTGCAATCCCATATTTCAAATACTCCTTTATGCAAAAAAGACACACAAAAGTTAAAAAGCCTAGGCTGGAAATCAGTTCAGCAAAATAAAGTCTTAGACAGGGATCAGTGTGAGTCAATGCTGGCTGTAATGATCTTATTATTTATTTTAACTGCTTTCATACATAATATGTAATTACCTTGGTATCATATATTGCTGTTTTTTAAAATTATTATTTGTTTTGTTGACTTCTGTCTGAATCATAAACAGCTGTCTGTCTGCCAATATTTAAATATTAATTTTGTGATTGTTTGCTGGCACTTCTTTGTATGTAAATATGTAAATAGCGCTGCTTTTCAAATTCTCTGTCGCAGCCACTTTACTCAGGTTGGTACGCAGCCCTCACCGACACTTTAAATCTGTGATTTAACACATAGAGCTGAGTTTTACCAGTTCTGCTTAATAGTGCAAATTTATATTTAACTGTGTCAACAAACATTTTGTTGCGTTTGGTGTTAATGGTGTTTGTGCCACTATTTTCAAGATGTAATGTTGACTGCAGTGAATGTTTGGCGCTCTATCTTTGTGGAAAAAGGAAAAGGGGTTAGCACAGCTCCCATTTCTCTAAAAATCCCCCAAAGTCTCTTATCTAAAAGCAGGTTGTTTGTTGATGTTGGGAGCTTGGGTAAATAGCTAAAGGCACTGTAACTCATGCAGCAATGCGATCTCACTTGGATGTCTGTCTGTTTCCTAGAAGGACCTATGTGAAATGCAGATTATGTTTACATGCTTCATGTAGTTCTGGTCAGTAGGGGGTAGACAGTCACAGAGGGGAGCGGTGCTTTCCCAAGCAAGGTCTGACCCCCTTTCAACTCCTCACTGGGCTCCACTGAGCCCTTTGGGCAGCTCAGTTTGCTGCAGAGTCAGGCAAGCAATGGGCTTATGTGCAAGCCTCGCCGTGGCAGATTTTAGACCCATCTGTGGGGAAAAGATAAGTCTGGTTTATCACCCCTCATTTATAGTGCATATTCTATTTGTAAATTCCACAAACTACATTTTCTCCTGTTACCGTCCCTCTTTCTTCTCCTGTTCTCTCTCTTTTGCCCCCGCACATGCACACAAAACAGCAAAAAAAGAAAGAAAAAGAAAACAAAAAGACTGCTGCAGTGAGAATCAAATACAGCAGTAAACACTGGCAGTCACAGTGGGCAATAAAATGCCGACCACAGCCAGTACACAAACAAAGAGACTGCTCTTCTGTCAAGCAATGGCTATGGAGCAGCTGGAGGAAGATCACATGGTATAAAAAAAACAACAAAACAAAACAAAAAAAAGCCAGGAGACAATCATGCTGTTACAACCTATCACAAAACCATATTCTGTTCAACCTTCTCTCGCTCTCACACACAAATTGCTCACCACTTCAGGAAGAATGAGCATAAAGTAGAGGAAATATAGGAAATATGTTCATGAAATGAATGTGGCACAGCTTCAGCAGCATGATTGTGGCTGTTGCCACTGTAATTGCATGTGGTTTTCTATATTCTAAATATAAAAATGAACAAAGTATCTGCAACCATCGTCCCATTTCCTCCTCTGTTCCTACACTATTAAACCTCAAACATTCCAGCATAGTTTTCAGGACATCGGAAAGAAAGTCACGAGCAGACCCTGAGTTGTTATTATACAAAATATTAGAGCCAAGAAAGTAATATGCCTAATTTGTGGCAAAATGGAGTTTTGAAATCTAGGTGTTCCTACTGGAAATATCTCCCAAAGAATTTGTCAAGTACAAAAGACATTAAAAAGAAAAATTGGCAGAGAAATTGCATTAGAACTGCTTCAGTCCTCGAAACATAAGCCTTTTATTAAATATTCCCTCATTTGATGTTGATTGTGTTGGAGAGTGCCCACAGGTCCAAAATATTCCAAAGGCGTTAATTGGGTGATTGTTAAGGCTGTAGCATGTTAATATATATTTATCCACACCGTGACGCCTCCACAGGTTTTTCCCTCCATTTGTCTGTATCTGTCTGTGGTCCTAATGTCTCAGTACTTTTCTCTAATCAATCTTTATCTGCACGACTAGTTCACTGTAATACTGTCTGTAGCTGAAACTGTGCCTTCTATCAGCCTGAAATATGCGTCTACGTGATGCGAGCTGAAAAAGATTATGATGGATGTGATTCTATATCGGGCAGCAGATGAGGGAATACCTCAGGGAAAATGGGGAGCTCGTATCCAAGGAACATATTGGAAAGACTCTCTGAATTAACAGTGTGGAAATCACCAGAGGGACTAAACACAGGACTGAAGTCTGGGTTGGAATCGAATTCTAAGGATGGCAAGTGTACAGTATACAAACTAATGGTGGCATAAAATGTTCCTTTGTGCGGCCGTTGTTTTGAACAGGACTTAAAAAACAGCTGATGATGTATTCATGCCACATTTTCCTATAAATACATTACACCAGTCTGACTTCTACTGGACAATATTTGCCATTACAACCATATGCTACTGAGTTCATCGCATACACACAAGTAATATCCAGTAATCCTTTGGGGGTTTTTTGCCATTCTGTAAAATCAATTAGAAAATATGTTTTTTTTTTTTTAAAGTGATAAAGTGGATCTTATTAAGCAATTGCACTGTACAAAAAAGTAATGTATACAGTCTTTTCTAGCATAATTGAAACTATATCCAAGAACAGGTACCCGCTGTGTTCTCATAGTCTTTATTTCATCTATTTACAAAGAATACAAAACTTTCTTCCATTACTTCATATGAACAGACAGACATAACAAGCAGGGCTTCATTTGTGATGCTGTTTTGTCCAGTTGGAAGCTTCTTTGCGCCCTTGTTTCAGCCCCTACGAAAACACAATAACCCCCAAAATATTACTCATTTTATGAATCCATGACTTTTACATATTCCTAAAAATCTGAAAGGAAAAATAAAGCAACTTAACCAAAAAGGCAAAGGAAAAGCATCAACATTACCATAAACAATTGACTACTATTTACAGCATAACAAAAGGTGAGGTATGTACAAGCTCCAAATCCATGTTATAACCTCCCAAGAAGCCAGCAGGGCTCTGTGCACGTACCAGATAGTATCCTGTGTGATATCCACTCATATACCAGGAGATGAGCATGCTGCCCAAGGCTTCATCATCCACCATGTCAGGGCTCATTGGTGGAGGTGGAGGAACCATCTAAGGTGGAGGCATCAACAGCAGAGCGAATGTTCAGGATGCAGTTGTTGGTGTTTAACGTTGCCATTTGTTAGACCCTAACATGTTATATCCTAAACTGTATCTACCTGCTGTAGAGTAAACACACTCCTTTAGCTTTGCTAAGGGTAAAAATTGATCCCAACTCACCGGTGGACCAAAAGGCATCATGGGAGGCCATGGAGGAGGTACAGGCCCATGACTACCAGATCGCTTGCTGCTCCCCTGGTGCAAGACAAAAGACACAAAGATGGAAATCAACAGCTTGTAATACCATTACCACATAAAGTACCCAAGATAATGAGAGAGGCTTGAAACTATTTTCATTAGGGAAACTTATCTAAACTGAAGTAAGCGCAGTCTGATGCCTTCCAATTCTTTTACTCAAAATAACTTCTTCTCAACATGGACATAAATATCATGGAAATATTAGGCTTTTATTGATATCTTTGAATTGCTCTGTGAGGCAAAATGATTGCACATTGTTAAGCCTGGGGAGCTGAGACCAGCCTGATAGAGGTGATGTGGTGGTGGTAGGGATTATTAAAAAACAAATCCACTCCAACTGTTAATGCAAGAGGTCTAGAAAAAAAGGGCAAGGTGCATGGCCTTTTAGCTTTGGTTAGTGTCTGCCTAAGTGGTAACTTTTCTGTGCCAAGGAAGGTTAGTTCGACAACACTAACTGGATTGATCAATACCAACGAAACATCGGACAAGACAGGAATGATTACTGTAAGCATTTCTACACCAATGCAAATTCAAAGATAATCACAAAGTGCAGGCTTGTCATGAAACAGAAGCTGCTTAAACAACATTGTCACAGTCCAAAGTTAGTGAGGTTTTGGACCAAGTGGCTGGTGTCCAAAATCAAAACTTTCGAGCTCAAATAAAGTTTGTTGCTTCCCACATGAGAATTAAAAAAAAAAAAAAAAAAAGCTGAGACACTTAAACCTCATCATGATTGTTACGCATGGTGGTGGCAGCATCATACTGAGAGGCTGATCTACTGCCAGTTAAATTAATATAAGCACGGGTGCACATAGGTGGTCCGCAGGTGCGCATTCGCTGTCAAAATAACAGACACGCACAAGATAAGAAGTTGCAACGCGTTTGCGTACATAGGATTTTCTGGAGGAGGACAGACATTTGTTTAGAACTCTTAAAGATGTCGAAGAAGCTCCTTTAAGCAATTACTTTGGTGTTCCTCCACCTCCAAAGAAATGTCAGAAGGAGTCCGAACCGCAAAAGCAGCGCATATTCCCGGAAAAGTGGTGAGGAGGTGAGCTGGCTTCAAACAAACGATGAATGCACAGAGATGTGGTGCAGAATATGCTGTGAAAATCCCACTCTAGCGGACAAAAACAGTGCCTTTTTATATGTATGCAAACGCGCGTTGCAACTTCTTATCTGGTGCGCGTTTTTTTATTTTGACAGTGAATGCGCACCTGCGGACCACTTATGTGCACCTCTGAATATAAGTTAATGAATGAGAAGGACTTTCCAGAATTCTTCATCATAAGCTCAAAACATCAGATAGATGTTTGAAACCTGGAAACAGTTGTGTCGTTTTGCAGGACGATGATCAAACACTCATTAAAGTTGGATAAAACACAAAGCTCAGTGTAAAAATAAGGCATTTGAAATAAAATTCAATAGCTGAATACAACCATATAAAAAAGTGAAATATGCTTAGTAAGAGCTGTGCCAGAAGACCATAAATTTAAGATTTTAACTTTTGTCAAGAAAAGAGGTAAAATATGTATATCATGGTGCAAACAAACAAACAAAAAAGAACATTTAAGCAAATTTGTTGATGATTTGTATTTATAACTCTGATGCTTTTTGATTTCAAGTCAAAGATTAGTTAAAACTTTTTTGTTTTTAATATCCATCATTATTACAAGCATTAGTCCCCACATTTCCTGGAAAGCACTAAAAGCCACAAATTCATGTCCATAATAAGTGTATGTATGCTTTTAAACTGAACAGTCAGCATGTAGAGGCTCAAAGAAGGCTTAAGATAATGTACAATATTTTTTAAAACACACTATTTCTTTTCTACTCTTTACAGTTGGGTCCACATAAAGAAATTGGGCCTATTACAATCCAGTCCTGCAATAAATGTTCATATTCTATCTTTAGTGTTCAGATTATAAACACTTTGCTCACGTTTCCTCTTTCTGAATACAACAAACCTTCAACCTCCTATCGGGAATTTAATTAATACCTGAAAATGATTTAATCACAATTTAAAAACAAAAATAAGCATGAAAGTAATTTTGTTGGCAGACTAATAATGAATCAGCTCCCTAAAGAGCCTTTCTTCTTACCTGTCTGAAAGCATGCATGGGAGGTGGTATTGGAGGAAATCCAGGAGCCCACATAGGAGGTGATTCTTTGTGGGTCTTGGACTTGTGGCCCTTATTAGGTGACTGTTTGTGCTGGTTTGGAGTAGCTGACCTGTCACTCTCCTCCGTTGAAGATTCTGCTTCATGCACCTATGGATAGCAAAGACATACTGCTTTGATCTTTCTCCCCAATTTCACACCACTGGGAACAAATACAGAGAAATCCATAAACATATCTGAATTTGTTTGGGAAGCAGTAAGAAATGATCCAGACAAAAACAGAAAGCGCTAACCCATCTATCCATCCTTAGTCCTAAGTTTTAATAGACTAAGAAAGCAATCTGTTAATCGGCAGTGATTTCCATGACTCACCATTTGATAAAATGGTAAAAAAATATTTAAGCCTGATTTGGTCACAATATTAGTTTTGCTATTTTAACATTCATGATGTGCATATGTGAATAATGAAGGTAAAAACTATGTGCAAATTGTGTCAGGGAACAATACTACCATTTTCTAATAACTGAATTGTTATTTGTATTGTGCTGCTGTTATGTGAATGCATTTATTTGCACTAGTTTACCTTGGTATTTGATTCCTCATCACCCTCCGAAAACTCTGACAGCAGGTCTTCAAGATTCTGCTCCTCCTCGTTGCCATAGCCTGTATAAACAACTATACAAGTGCCTCTCTTCTTGTCTATGGAGGCGATCGTGGCTGCATAGAGCTGGCCATCCTCGGACCAGTAAGCACTGCATGAATTCCCAACCTGCCACTGTGACACAACATAAACTGTAATTAAAGTGAAAGTGTAAACATGTGTAAACAACACTGTTTTTGAATGTCTCTGAATTACCAACAGGATACAGTTGTGGTCAGAAAAAAAATACTCATCATGGGCATGAATGTCATGGTAACATGGTGCAGAAGAGGTGCACAAGTTTAAATTAAATTTCTATGGGATCAAAAGTATACATAAGGCAAATATACATATACTCCGAATAACGCGTTAAATGTCCCTGAGCAAGTCGCATCTCCACCAGATGGCTTTTGGTAACCATCAACAAGCTTCTGGTGTATTTCTGGTTAAATATTTGATCATTCTTCTCAGCAGAACTACTAGAGTTCATTTAAATTTGTTGGCTTCCTGCACAAACCCAGGTTTTAAGCAAAGTCCACAAATTTCAACGGGGGTGCGGTCGGGCTTTGGGAAGGTAATTCCAAAAGCTTAATGTTAGCCTGCTTTATCCATTCTAAATCCAGTTTTGATGTGTGTTTGGGATCAATGTCCTTTTGGAACACCCAGTTTTCCCAGTTTTTTTTAAACTTTACTGCTCCAAACAGACCTCTTGTCATTGTGGACAAATAGCTCAACCTTTGTCTTGTTTGATCATAAAGCTTTTCTACACAAGACATTTGGCTTGTCCATGTGGGCTGCTGCAAATTTCAGGCAGGCTTGAAGATCTTTTGGTGAAGGTGCTTCTTTCTTGGTTGGCACCCTTCCACGTCACAGTGATGCAAAACTTGCTTCACTGTGTGCAGTGACACTGATGTTGCAGCAGTTTCCAGTTCATGGCAGACTTGAGCCTCAGCAGTTCCTGGGTTGTTCCTGGACATCCTAACACATTTCATCTAATCTGAGAATGTGACAGATTGGGTCTTCTTTGAGACCTTGGATGAGAGGTCACGTGTCCAAGTAACTGTTACTTGCTTACAATTGTTTAAACTGATTATCTTAAAATCTGAAGTTGTTTAGGGACAGCTCCGAAACCATCCCAACTCGTATAAATGTACGAATCTCCTTCTTAGACCTTCATAGAATAGCCTGGAGTTTCCTATTGTAACAAGCACCGGTCAATCCAATAACTGCTGCCATGCAAATCCTATTTATGATGGCAGAGAAACTATTTGTTTTAGTCAATCATGATCACTAATGACAAGTTAATAGGCCTTGCCAAGTTCTAAGTCATTGTTGAACCTTCAGCACCACTTACTAAAATATATAAGTGAACGTATGTATATATTTAAGCCTGCATTTATACTTTTCACTCTGTGTGGATTAGAGAAAATCCACCTCCCAAAAATGAGTTGTCCACCACATTCTTGATTTTAAAACCCATTTAGGATGTATGCTGTGCAATCACTCCACAAAGTAAAAAGAACAGTTCAAAGAAATCATTAAAATCCTTAAAATTATGATGACAATCATGCTTGTGATAAGTGTAGTTAAACTTCTAACCATAACTGTAGAAACTGTAAATGAAAGACACATTTCGACCACTGATTTGAAACACAGAATCTAAACTGACTTATGTTAAAATGTACTCTCCAGTTTGATACCTCTGACAACTTTGTAAATCATGTGTAAATATTTAACTCTAAACCTTTTCCCCTTCAAATGTATCTGTAGCTTTAGTTCCAGTTCCTCACCTCTTTTTCTGGTGCTGCATTGTTTCTTTTCCTACTCTGGTTCTTCTTGTTGTTCTTGCGTTTCTTTCCTGGTTGGTTTTTCTTTGAGATTTGTGGCTCATCTTCACCCTTAAGGGCAGTCTAACACGCAAATCAAGAAGAGACTTTAAAATAGCAAACAACATTTAACATTCACACATACTGCAATAATCCCAAGTTACCTTGAAAGATGCAACTGCCTTGTCATAAGCCTTTATCAGTGCGGTGTCATCCCAGATGTCTGAATCATCACTCTGGAAGAGAACAACAAATTTGGAGTCTTTACAATACAAACATGTGTTTTTAATGGGTATAAATAAATAATGGCTAAACATTACGTGATTTAAAAATAATAAATAATACCTGCAAACCAGATGACATTTACAGCCAATATTTATTTGATGTGTCAAAATAATTCACTAAATAGTAAAAGACGGTGTGCTGAAGAGCAGAAAGACTTTAAACAATTTATGATGAATAATTAATCAATTTCTTTCGTAGAAAACAGGATAAACAGCATACAAAAAGACGAACACATTAAATGTTGCTAAATTATTATTATTATTTTTAAATCTGTCTTAAATCCACAATTATAATGAAGCATCTTACAAGCAGTGCATGCAAAAACAGAGGCAGGATGCAAAGGATTTTAGGCTTATTGTACAGTACACCTTTGTCTCCTATGAACTGTTGCAACTCAACCTAAAACTACTTTGTAAAGCATTTTTGTAACGCATATCCACAATGGTATATTCCAATAAAGCCACGTTTTGTTTATTGTTTATTGAAGCACATCTGGTATATTGTGTATTTCCGGCTTGACTTCTTTTATTACTTTTCTCATATCTTAACTTAGCCTAACTCAACGTTGGTTTAGCTTTTAGCTATATAGCTCACCGCCTCAAACAACTGTACAGACAGCATAGAAGCGTCATATAAGTCATGTTCCTCCGCGTAATACTGCATTATTACTCGCCTGTCCAGTTCCGCGCGTAAAAAGCACTTCCTTGCATCCGTTCGCCATGTGAACAATTGCTGTATCCAGTGCTAGCCGCTAACTCCTAAACATCTAACTAGCAGCGTGCGTCGGAAATTGTGACGTACAGCATTGCGACGTCTATATCTTGCGACGCAGTGGTTGGCTTGGTAACGGCAATTGACGACTTTCCCCCCTTAAGAATCTGTAAACAAAGCATTTGTTGTGTTTTGTTATAGAAAAACCAGAAAGCCTCGGAGACTATAACCTTTTCTGTGCGATGATTGAGTCGTCTTTAACTTCTGTAGGTGCGAAAGTTGTCCTCGTTGCATCCAGCGATGAAAATCACCCACCAGAAAACATTATCGACGGGTGAGTGCTAGTTTTTAAGCTGTGATTATCTCAGCAATTTTATCTTTGTCAATTTTCATATATTCATTTAAACAAAAGGAAACAAATTATGTGATTTTGCTACAAGCTGCTACTTAACGGCGCCTGAAGATGCAACTTAAAATTGCTTCTTTGCTAAGCTGTCTGTTGTGTTGACATAACACTGGTTCGTCCCTTCAAATTCAAAGTAAACTTTATTGTCATCTCTGCTAAATACAGTTCAGTATATAGAGACGAGACGACGAGGCTCTAGTTCCATACAGTGCAAAAGAACAACAAGAAATATATAAAGAGTAAGAATAAAAAGAATAAATATATATATACACTTTGAGACTGAGGTAAGGGGAGTAAATATACACTTTGAGGTAAAAGGGTTAATAACAGTCTAAAATTTACAATTTAGATTTAAGGTGACTTTGAAGTGGTTTAAAATGACCATGATTCCTGAGAGTAGGATTCTCCATAGAGCAGCATCTGTATTTACAAAGGCAGTGATATGTGGAGTCCAATAGAGTCAGTTAGTGGTTTGTGTGGGTGTATTGGGTGGGGGGAGCTGGTAGTGAGTTCAGGAGTCTGATAGCTTGTGGGAAAAAGCTGTCTCTCAGTCTGGAGGATCGGGCCCCAATGCTGCGAAGCGTCTGCCGGATGGGAGGAGGGAAAAGAGTCCATGTGAGGGGTGTGACGGGTCACGCACGATGCAGGAGGTCTTACTGATGCAGCGTTTGTGAAAAATGTCCTGTAGCAGAGGGAGAGATGTTTCAATGATCTTTGCAGCTGCGTTGACGATCCGATGTAGCTGGCTGAGGTCACCGACTTTGCAGTTTCCAAACCACACGGGGATGCAGCTGGTCAGAACACTCTCTATTATGCCCCTGTAGAACATGGTGAGGGTGGGAGGAGGGAGGTTGGCCTGCTTCAGGCGTCTCAGGAAGTGGAGGCGCTGCTGGGCCTTTTTGGTGATGGAGGTGGTGTTGGCGGTCCAGGTGAGGTTGTCTGAGATGTGAACTCCCAGGAAATTGGTGCTGTTAACAGACTCGACTGTGGAACCGTGGATGCTGAGTGGTGTGTGAGTAGAGCGAGTCTTCCTGAAGTCGACGATCATATCCTTGGTTTTGTCCATATTTAGTGACAGGTTGTTTTCACTGCACCAGAACGCCAGCTACTGAACCGCATCTCTGTACTCTGACTCGTCGTTGCTGCTGATGGGTCCAACCACGGTTGTGTCGTCAGCGAACTTGATGATGTGGTTAGAGCTGTGTAGGGCGGTGCAGTCGTGTGTCAGGAGGGTGAACAACAGAGGGCTGAGAACATAGCCCTGAGGAGCTCCTGTGCTCAGCCTGATTGTGCTGGAGATGTTGTCGCCGATTCGGATGGACTGAGGCCTCTCTGACAGGAAATCTAGTATCCAGTTGCTGAGAGAGGTGCTCAGTCCCAACTTGCTGAGTTTGTCGAACAGTTTTTGGGGGATAATGCTGAATTATCTGAGTCTATGAACAGCATTCTGACATAGTTGTCTTTCTTGCCCAGGTGGGAGAGGTGAAGTGCAGTGGAAATGGCATCCTTGGTCGACCTGTTTGGCCAGTATGCAAACTGCAGCGGGTCCAGTGAGCAGGGGAGGTTGCTCTTCACATGCACCACGACAAGTTTCTCGAAGCACTTCAAAATGATGGGGTCAGGGCGATGGGACAGTAGTCATTCAGGCAGATTACAGAGGATTTCTTTGGCACCGGGATGATGGTGGTGGACTTGAAGCACGCTGGGATGATCATCTGACTCAGTGATGAGTAGAAGATGTCTGTGAAGACATCGGCCAGCTGATCAGCGCAGCCTCTCAGCACGCGACCTGGGATGTTGTCCGGTCCAGCAGCTTTCCGTGGGTTGACCTTGGTGAGAGATCTCCTCACATCGGCTGCAGGCAGAGAGATGTTCTGGTCGGTGGTGGGGGGCGTGGCTTTCTTTGCTTGTGTGTTGTTCAGGGCATCAAACCGTGCGTAGAACTTGTTCAGCTCCTTAGGAAGTGTGGCATCTCCATCACAGGTGCCTGTTGCAGGCTTGCACTGTGTGACGGCCTGAATGCCCTGCCATAAACTGTGAAAGTCCTTTGTGTTGTGGAAGTGGCTCTGGATCTTATGTGCATGTGCATGCTTTGCTTGTTGGATGGCGCGAGAGAAATTTGGGTGTCTTGAATTAGGGGCTTTATTTTTTGCTTGAATGAGTCACATGATTGTGCAAATGACTGGAAAAGCGGTAGGACTATTGCTTTAGCTAACATTTTTAATATTTCAAGAAAGTCTGGCTACATGGCAGCAAAATATGAAGGTTTTTTTGTGCAATATTGTATATCTACACAACAAAAGTTGATATCAAAATGTGATCTAAAAAGGTTTCATCAATGGTAAAATGTCATGATTTTCTGTCTTTCTTATCACTCAGAAACACTAAAACGTTTTGGATGTCCACTGGGATGTTTCCTCAAGAGTTCATCATTCACTTCCCTGAACCTACAAACATTGGCACTGTGACAGTGGACAGCTACAATGGTATGGAGGCTGTGTGCACCTTAGGTCAAACATACATGTCCAGTTCTAAAAACGTTGGGTCCATGTGTAAAATTTGATGAACTGAATATAATAATTTGCAAATCTTATAAACCCATATTTTATTCACAATAGAACATAGAAAATTAAAGAATTTTAAGAAAAAATAATGGTTCATTTTTAATTCAGTCGTATCAGTACGTCCCAAAAAATGTCAGGGCTGTGACTACACTGCGTAGTATCCCCTCTTCTTTTAAGAACAGTCTGTAAATGTCTGGAAACTGAGTGACCAGTTGCTGGACTTTTCTTGTCTGACATTCTAGCTGTTCAGTAGTCATGGGTCTTTGTTGTTTTTTTTGGGTTTTTTTAGTTCATGATGAGCCAAGTGTTTTGAACTATTGAAAAGTTAGGACTGCAGGAAGGCCAGTTCAGCACCTAGACTTGTCTATTATAAAGTCAAGCTGTCGTAATAAGTGCAGTATACAGTTTAACATTGTCTTGTTGAAACATGCACGGTCTTCCCTGAAAAAGACGTCATCTAGACAAGAGCATGTGTTGCTCTAAAACCTCTATATACTTTTGATCACTGATGTTGCCTTTCTAGATGTACAAGATGTGAGTTAAATAGGCGCTACCATACCATCAGAGAGGTTTTGAACTGAGTGCTGATAACAAAGCAGTTGATCCCTGTCCTCTAGTCTTGGGACTATGCAGTCTTTATGTCTTCCAAAAAAATTTTCCAAATACTTTTCCACCTTATCTCAGTCAATTTTAAATGAGCCTTGGCCCAGAGAAGGCGGCGGCATTTCTGGATTGTGTTCATGTATGGCATTTTCTTTGCGTGATAGAGCTTTAACCTAAGTTGAATGGATGGTACAGTGAATTGTGGTAACAGACAGTGATTTCTGGAGAGGTTCCTAAACTCATGCAGTGATTTCCATGGCATAATCATGCCTGTTTTTCAGTGCTGCCCGAGGGCCTAAAGATCAAGGGTATCCATGTATTTTTAGCCTGTATTTATTTGTCCCTTGCACACAGAGATTTCTTCAGATTTCCTGAATCTTTTAAACAGAGATATTCTTTTTATACCCAGTCATGTTACTGACCTGTTGCCAGTTAACCTGACTGGCTGCAAAATGTTCCCCTAGCTGTCTCTTTTTAGTATCACTTACTTTTCCAAGCTTTTGTTGGCTCCGTCCCCACTTTTTTTGAAATATATTTTTGCCATCAAATTCAAAATGACCTTATTTTTTTCTCAGTTTAAATATCTGTGTCCTTTTGTAAAAAAATGAGGGTTTATGAGATTTGCAAATCAGTGTATGCATCTTTTATTTACATTTTACACAGCATTCCACAATCCCAGCTTTGTTTAAAATTGGGATTATATTTTGTGTGGATTGTATGCAGCCCTCTGAAGTAAACAGGCATTAAAATGATTTTATGTAGCACGGCTTGAAAACACTTTTTGTAGCCACGTAGTATTGCAGATTAGCTGCTCTTCAAGGGAATTATGAGCACCTTTCCCAAAGGTTTAGGTTATGCTTTTTAAAGTAATGTGTGGGATAACAAATTCTTAGTGGTGTTATTGTAGAAATTGACCTTTTCTTTTCAGCCAACTACAGGATATTTCCATTTATAATTTGCCGATATACGCATGAATCCATTCTTGTCATTGTTGTTTCCGCTCCTTCGGAGCCCCCAAAGTTTTAATCAGTACTGCACACTCAGGTGATGTGTTTTATCTCTCCACTGCTAATATTCAATACCAGGCAGCGGTATTGGTTGGGGGTTAGGGTTCTTTCTGATGACTCTTCCATGCAGACATAATCACCCCTTCATGAAACCTTCCAGCAGCTCATTTGCAGTCATGATGTTTCTGCAGTTTATTTGAAAAATTTCTTGGGCTTCCTGAGCTTTACGTGGCCTCAACAAGCCCCCCTTAAGTTCCTGTCACGATATGTCAATAAAACTGTAATTAAGTGGCTCAGAAAAAGGAAACTGATTAATCTGTCAAACACTGGACAGTAAATGACTGGGGGGTCATTTAAAGGAAGAGAAACGTCTCAAGGATGAGGTGTAACATTGTTCCATATTTAAAATGCTTATTGTTAAATATTGTTTTCTAGACATATCTATTTTCTTTAAAGTTTGTATCTATATCTCGTGTTGTTTCATGGTTTCTTTCCAATTTTTAATATCTTCTGCTGATTTCTTTCTAA